CTAACTATGAAGTTAGAAACTTAAAGTTTCAAACTTAATCCGAAAGCTTAATTTACTATGTGGAAAACCATTACTAACATCAGAAATAAGTCTTATTTTTCAGCCAAAGTAAATGATTATAATTTTACCAAATATACCGTTTGTTGTGCTACATGTTAAGATACCAACTTAGTAGCTCGGAATAAAGAAATAAAAATGTCGAGAAAATAACGACCAAACTTTCAAAATTATATTTTCAAAAAAATACAAAGCGTTCATTTTTTTTTGTTAGTTAAAACATACTATTTGTTCTCCGTAACATACTTTAATTGAAAACGTTTTTAATAAAACGTACCACTTTAAACTGAGTCTTGCTAAGATTACACGAGTGTAAAATATTAGACAAAAGTAGACCAACTTAGATGTTTTGAAAACTTCTGTTTCTTTATAATTGTCCCCGCTAGTGGCACAGCGGTATGTTTGCGGACTTACAACGTTAGAATCCGGGTTTCGATACCCGTAATGGGCAGAGCACAGATAGCCCACTGTGTAGCTTTGTGCTTAATTACAAACAATCTTTATTATTACTTGTGGTTTGTGTTGCTTTAAAAAAAAACTGAAACTTTAAGATTAAGATCCTAACAAGTTTTAACATGGTTGTTCACAAACCATGAACTAGCTTCACTTCTGTCAACTGAAACCTGCTGTCAGTGTGTTGAAATTAATGGCTGATCCACTCTGAAATTCTTTATTGACATTATAATTATTCTAAATGTTTCCCGAGGCGCTCAGTTCTACACTTTCGTGGATCGACCATTTGTGGTTCTTATAATTTTAAAATATTCATGCGCGAGTTTAGTAATGAAACTTGTATGCCTTTCCCCTTTCTATTTTTCGAGCAATATGAGTGGAGTATACTAATAACGTTAAGTGCTGCCCGAAGATATCTATTAAATGTAGATAACTTTAATGTAGTTATCTCTTCTTTACAAGACGTAGAAGAGAATCCGCAGAACACCTGAAGTACAGAGTTGTAAGTATATATATCTGTATTCATAAGTTTAAGTCTTGATATAATTAATTTAACTTTTTTGTGAATAAAAGTCGTGGTTTACTATAAAAAATTATACTGCACTCGCTTGGCAATAGATAATTATGCGAAATTACGTGGAATTAAATATGAAACTAGCGACTATGAAATTGTCTTTTTGATTTCTTATTATATTGTATTTGACTACCATTTTGTGTCTCAATTTTTACCATAGTGAATAATAATAACAAGCTTATTAATCCAGAGGTAGCAGACGATACTGGCCTATACTCTCGTACACGTATATTAGTGGCTCAGCAGTATATGTAGGCTTATGATGCTAAAAGTTGGGTCAACAGCAATCAACCAACTTTTAGGAACGTTTTATTTAAGCCAACGTTTCGCCATTACGGCTTTCAGGGTAAGCAAGACACTTGCTAACTGTTTTACGACTCTATTACTCCAGAAAATATAATTCGTTTTAATTTAAGCCAACGTTTCGCCATTACGGCTTCATCAGGGTAAAC